ACTTCTAAGACTCAAAACCTCCTATTTATTTAAAATGCTTTTTAAAGCGCTATTATTAGTACAAGTATCATTTAAACAAATCAGCAGCAGTTAGAAATTTCCAAGTGCACTAAGCTGATTTGGGTACCCTTGCAGTCAGATGTGTGTTTTGTCAGCTGAAACAAGCTGCATTCATTTCTGTCCACGGTTAATTCATCATCTCAAGCTACACTTCTTTTTAAATCATACACGACAGTAAACAGTGGTCCCTGCAGACTTCTCGGATGCTTTAAGTGGATTAAACCAGAAATTTATAAAGGGCAATTTAAGATCTTTTAATGCTACTCTCTGTTACTATTTGTTAGTAAAGTCAATTATAGAATTAACAAAAGCTTACCAAAGCTCTTCTGGCAAGTGGAAGATTTTTCTGGCGTATTTCAAATTGTGCATACAGCAACCATATTTTGGCAAATGTAAACTGAAAGAAAAAAAAAACCACAATAATGTGATGCTTAGGTTTGGAGCTTAGTAAATAATGCTGCATATGTTCTTGAAAAAATAATCACCCTGACTACACAAGATGTTACTGCTACTGCAGTTAATTGGCATTTGACTTGAGTGTTTTTCTGCTGAAAAGTTAAAGAGTTCATAACCCAGAACAACCTCTCTAGAACAGGATAATATACTCCATAATCGATGAATGCAAAAGATGGCCAGGACAGAAGTCTTCTCAAATATAAAAAAATGGCTCATTAACCAATCAACTGACTGGTAAAATATCAGGTATCACTGAATCAATTAACAGCTAATCCATTTAATAATTACAGATTAATCCTAATTACACAGTTGGTGCTCAGATGACATGCTTAATGACAAACTAGAAAAGGAAATACATGAACTAAGATTTCTTGATGTTTCAAGGCAATGCTGATTAACTGTTTTAAGGGTTTGGCCATGTAGATATTTTAGTTAAAGCTCACTGTGAAAAAATCCACAAAACCAAAAAAAAAAATATATATCAGTTTTGAACACTGATTGTAATGGGGAATAGACACCTGAAAAATGGTTTCTCAAATGCACCTCCCTCAGCTGGGAACATGCAGACAATAAGAAACAATTGCTATAGAAGGTGGTAACCCGATATAAAATAAAACTACAGGTATCCTGCAGAGATTACAAGCAACTAGATTGAGAGCAGCAGTAAAAGGACCAACCCTAAGAAGAAAACAAGTAAATAAAAAATAGGTAAGTGTTATTTCCTGCTGTTTAATAGTATCAGGCTGTTCTCTATGTGTTATTTCAGCTTCTTAGAGTATACTTAGTAATTTGAAAATACTACAGAAATGCTTGTGTTGCATCTGTATAAGAAAATCTGGTACTGACATGTGGCCTGCTATTTTCCATTGATGATGTGAATTACGGCTATCTAACACCCTATCTTGAAAACAAACAAAAAACCAAAACCAACAACAAACCACCAAAACCAACAAAAAAACCCCCAACAATTCAACAATTTTGGAAGATGTATGTTATGAGAAACTGGAAGGGATACTCCTGAGCAGAGTCTTCATGAATATGCTAGTAGCCATTTAGAGCTGCTTACACCCCTGAAACTTGTAGGGAAGAAAAATTGAAGGATCTTATTTTTTAAGTTTTAATCCAAGACTCAATATAAACTGCTGAAGCAGCCATACCTTTTTGTGAGGAATGAGCTCGATACATGCCTGATACACTTGTCTGGTTCGTTCCGCATCCTGTAAGAATAGCCACAATTAAATACTTTGTTCACTGCTAAGATCACAATCTATTTCAAATTATGCAATGACTGCCAAAATTGCAGAACAGTATTTTTAAGTTGCTTAGAATCACATATATTTAAAATATAAATGTACTTATCTACCTAGCGTGCACAATTCAAAGATGGTAACTTCTGAGAATCAGTAAGAATCATCTTTTCAAAACACAATTCGACACTAAGAATTTGACAACAAAACCAGGACTGACCCTGTTTTGGGGAAAAAAAGGTCTTTTTTCCTTTACCATGCACTGAATAGGTATACTGCACTACAATTTTAGGAAATAAAGAGCAGCTATAATGTTACATGACTGATAACAGAAGAAATGCTCACATAGCCTCAAAAGGCTACTGTAGCAAGAATCTGACTGCTTCACAGAACAACTTCACAAATAGTTCTGTTAAATATAAAACTATTTCACAAGTTCAGGTAACAGCCTGGAACAGGCAGTTCTGATGGGGCTAGAAAGACCTACTTCTGCTTCTATTATCAGCATGTTTCTGGATAACTATTTCAGTTTCACTCCAATTCTTTTCCCCTATGCATTGGGGGGGGGAGAAATCAAAGGGGAAAAACCCCATATTTAAATAGCAAATCCTGTAGCTAGTTACACAAAACAAGAAAGACATAGTATTTTTAGTTCTCAGTTTTCTTATTAAAATATCTGTAGCTATTTAATATAAGGAAAATATTTGGGAAGAAAAGAAAAAAAACTTGAATTCTTACTACTTGCCTTTGCCTCCAGCTCTTCATATAACGCATAGTTAACCCAAAGATAGATGTATCTTTTCCAGTGTCTTTTCTCTTGAATTGGGGGAACGTTGGCGATGGCTCTTTCATACACTTCTCGGACAGTCTCGGCATCTGCATCACTTTCAACTAACCTCAGGTAGTCAAACCACGCATCGTAATTATGTGGATTTGCCTTCCAGAAAGAAGGGACCACAGAAATGGGACAGAAACTTCAGTAACTACAAATAACAGATCCTGTTCCTTTACTTACAGCTTTTACTTACAATTTCTCCTTTAAAACAGATAATCAGAATATTAGTGAAAGTTGTCAGTCTCAGGTATGCTTAAGCTAGAGCTTTTGGATGGCAGTGCATTCATTTCTTTATTTTTATTTTACCCACAAGTATTCTTTAAGTGAAAGCAAGCAAACTAAGCTGTGAGAAGGGAAGAGAAAATGATGAAATATGCAGTATTCAGTGAATAGTAGATAGGTGGGGCACACCTGTCTTTTAACAAAAAAGTATTTACATGCAGGTGAGGGGTACTGTAACAGTTACTGCACAACAAAAGTGAAGAAGTTACAACCCAAGCCGCATTATCCCCCAAGATGACTATGAAAGGTACCATGCTCTGAGTTCAATCAAAAACTTTGGCTCTATAATCTACATTAGAATGCAGAAACAGAAAAGCAGTGAATCCAAGTATCATTCTCTCCCACATGGACGGGATTCTCCCTCCAAAGAGAACAGTGTTCTCTTGGTATTTTCTTGGACTGAGTATCAAGGATAGCATGTGACTCGTCACCCTTCACATCACGAGACACTCGTGTACCTGAAGCAGCAGCTGGCTGCACAATGAGCCCAGAGGCTATCAGTAATGCTTACCTTCACCTCCTCCTCATACTGGAATCTCCTCTTGCTGACAATGATGTCTTCGATTCCTCTTCTGTCTCCAAACTTCTTCTCAAAGATGGTGTAATTCTTGAAGAGATTCTGGGCCTGCTGTTTTGGAATTCTATCCAAGGCATACTTGTAGATCACTCTTACTCTTTCAAACTGAAATATTATAAGTAACTTGAGTAATATTAAAAAAAAATGCTTCTGTCCTCCCCCACAACTTCTGAATGAGCTTTTGGCAATATTTAATAGAATACAGAATCACAGAATATCTCAATGCAAATGACTGTTTTAGGATGGGACTAACACAGATCTCCCTAAAAAGAATGCCTTTTTTTGGGGGGGG